TATATATATATATATATATATATATATATATATCTTACTATCTTATTAAGCAAATTTAGCAAAAGTCTTAAAATCTTAAAATATTAAATGACCAAGATACCTTTTATACTACCCTTACTCACTTTTTCACCCTCTCTTCTCCTCACATACACTCACCATCTCACATTGAACCGATTTTTTTAAAATTATAATTTTAAATTTACACTTTATATCCCTATAATTAGTTAATTAATTTACTTTACGTTCTTTACTTTTAAATGTTTTATTTTAAACTTTTATCAAATTAACATACATAATCGTATATCAATTAAAACATGTTTAAAAAATACGTTTTTATTTTAACAAGTTACACCATTATAATTGTCTCGTTAATACCTTCGACATGAGTCCAATATTGAATAGTTTTTTACTTAATTATATTATTATATATTTTATATACTGTGAAAAATATTTTAATATTTACGATTTATACTTTTATAGTTATTTATTTTTATATATATACTATATATTTTGGGGTTAGCTGTCCCAATTGCACTGTATAATATGTCTGGAATTAATATGTTCTTGGGTTTTTTTTGAAATATATTTGAGTTTCTGGACAAGAAAGAGGATAAACAGTTGAAATTTTATTCTAAAACCCATCTTTTTTTGTCTTTTCATGGTTTATGATCTGTCAAATTTGTAATTTTCTTTATTGGTTTTGAGTGCTTATCTTAAAACTCAAGTTTTTTGGTTTTTGCTCTCGGTGTAAATCGAACACATTTGTGGAGTTGTTTAAATATGTTGGATTTTAAACTGTCATACAATTTTTTTCATCGATAGTCTGTAATTGGAACCATAACTCTTATTTATTCAAATTGTATTAATATGTAAAGACTAAATGTAATCTATATCATCGTTAAATCTTATCTTATAAAACCAGTGGAACTTCAAAATCGTTAAAATTCATGACTCTCGCCGTATTATGCGGATACACAACTAGTATATATATATATATATATATATATATTACAAAAATCATTATAATTAATAGCTGGTGTATAAAAAGGTAATATATAAGGCGTGTGTTCGCCACAATTCTCCGGTAATATATTCTCCCAAGTGATTGCTTTCGGCGCGCGGCTTCCACCGCCACTGCCACTTTCTCCACTTCCATGGCAATGCCCACCACCATTAACAACTCCGACCATTACACAATACAAATTAGAGGTCGAAAGCCAGCAAACCCAAGAAGCCAACGAAATCGTATTAGATCACGCAAAGAGAGCTGATCAGTGGTTTGAGAGCAGCCCTCTTAGGCGCCAACGATGGCCTCCTTTCCACCTCCTCGTTAATGATGGGTGTAGGTGCTGTTCGTGAAGACGCCAAGACCATGGTCCTTTCTGGGGTCGCTGGGCTAGTTGCCGGAACATGTAGCACGGCCATGGGAGAATTCGTGTCGGTTTCCTCACAATATGACATTGAAATGTCCAGATCAAAAGGGACATCAAGAATGGGTGGAGTTATCACGAAGAGTTAGAAGGTAAGAAAAATGAGTTGCCGAGCCCAACAAAAGCTGCGGTGGCGTCAGCCTCTGCATTTGCGACGGTGGGAGGGGCGGTGCCGCTTCCGTCAGCCACGTTTATGAGTAGTTATCATGGGCGGTTGGCGGTGATGGTGGCAATGGTGAGCATGGCGCTAGTAGGGTCTGGTGGGTTGAGTGCGGTGCTAGGGAGGGGTCCGGTGATGAAGTCGACGATTAGGGTGCTGGTTGGAGGGTGGGTGACTACGGGTGGGTTGACCAAAGCCATAGGGTTCTACCGGTTTGATTAACACTTAATTCGTTTTTAATAGGATTTATTTCTCTAAATAATTCTTTGTATTAAAGTTGTAATCATGAGAAAACGAATTTTGCCAAGTATGTTACAACGTGTTCGTTAAAAATAATTAAAATCAATAGTTAAAAATCAAAATCTCTTAATAAAAAATTACATTAAAATATTATTTATCTCTCTTAAATATTTAATTTTTAAGAATTTATTTTCTATAAAAATAATAAAAAATAATTGTCTCTCGTAATCAACCATTTTTAAGGAGTTTTCCAAATTTGAATAATTTTATCATCTTTTTTATACTTTCTCCTAAAAATCAACATGATTTTTCATTTTGGAGAATTCGTTTTATTGTATAAAACTTTATTATTTTAGAACGTAAAAAAAAAAGAACATACGAAGAAAAAAAAAGCTTGCAAAAAGGTTTACCTTTTTATGGATGAATGTCCAAGAAAAGCTAAATTAAATCGCTCTCAAAGCATAATTTCTAAAAGGTTATTCTAATCTTGTCGGTTCTAGACGTAGAAGTAAAAGTAACGTTGGTTTTGGGAAAATGTTGAAGCTCGTTTCTATTTACTATTGGAATAAACTTTACAACTTGAGAATGTTGTTGTCGTGCATGTTTGATTGCAATTTGATTTAAAAGTGAACGCATAATATTATATGATCGAAAATCAATTGATAACTAATTAGCATATGACTTAACTAGCCTAATATTGAGTATCCAAAAAGAAACAAGTTTTGAACGAAACACGTGATCCTTTGACGTACCGCTTACAACAATAAAGATAAAAGGCATTATTTAAGAACGGGTAATAGGTTAAAGAGAGAAAATGTATCCCTAAAACAATCTAAAGATCAAAACTGTCTTTATTGTCATCATTCATTTGTCGGGCTTACACCTACTTTTGATTTTATGCAAACCTTAGATCGTTACAATAAACCGAATGTAAGAGATAACGTTATAATTTTACATCTGATAAAAAATTATTATGTTTTTCATATATATATAATAATAAAGAATAAAATGTGTCATCATTTATAAAGGAAAAGGGAAGGATTCTTTAAAAGGAAAAGATGGCCAACTAGTGAAAGTGGTAATCTTGTGTAACATAAGCTATCATCGTAAGGAAGGGATCTGACATTGTTCACACTCTCACAAACTATATATATATATATATAGAGAGAGAGAGAGAGAGAGAGAGAGAGGGGGGGGGGCCTATAAGAAGGGTTCATGAGGCGTGTGACTTCCACAATCCACTTCTCCTGCTTTTCATCATTGCCACCTTCTCCCATGGCAACCAGCGTCACCTGTACCACCACCCTACAAGACTCCAAGCATAGAATTACAAAAGATAACGACTTAGACGTCGAAAGCCAGCAAGCCCCAGAAGCCTCCGAAGTCATATTTGATTATGCCAAAAGAGCTCAATGGCTGAGAGCCGCCCTCTTAGGGGCTAATGACGGCCTCCTTTCCACCGCCTCCCTGATGATGGGTGTCGGTGCTGTCCGTGAAGACCTCAAGGCCATGATCCTCACCGGAATAGCAGGACTAGTTGCCGGAGCATGTAGCATGGCCATCGGAGAATTCGTCTCGGTTTACTCCCAATATGACATTGAAATCTCACAAATCAAAAGAGAGATGAAGAGTAGTAGGAATACTGATAATAACGAGTTGGAAGCAAAGAAAAATGAGTTGCCGAGCCCAACAAAAGCCGCGGTGGCATCTGGCTCCGCATTCGCGGTGGGGGCGGCGGTGCCCCTTCTAGCATCGGGGTTTATTAGGGGATATTATGTGAGGGTGGGCGCGTTGGTGGCTGCGGTGAGTATGACATTAGTAGGGTTCGGTGGGTTGAGTGCGGTACTAGGGAGGGCTCCGGTGGTGAAGTCCACCTCTAGGGTGTTGGTTGGAGGGTTGGTGGCTATGGGGGTCACTTATGGGTTGACCAAAGCCGTAGGATCTACTGGTTTGGTTAGTACTTGATTAACATGAGTTTGGTTAGTACTTGATTAACATGATTTTGATCAGGATTAGTAATACATATTAGGGTGTGTTTCTCTTTGGTATTCGATTAATTTCAAGCTCGTATATTTTGGATTAGCATATGTTATAACAAGGTCGGTACTAACATATTTGGAGGCCATGTTCGATGAATTAAATGTGACCGAATATACTACTAAAATTTGACTTTTCACGGACGATCAATCATCGGATATCAATCGGTTTTGACAATGGTCAGTAAATTTTAGATGGAAATGAACGGACGGTGTCAAAATGGTCAGTCAATACTGGCGGATTTTTAAAATCAGTTCAACGGACAAAATAGTTGGTAATGTATCGTAAAAGCTATTTTATACCGGTGAAAATATAATGGAAAAGCATGTCATATTGACAACGTACCTACACAATATCAAAAAACTTTGCTAGGGAGATTCATTGACGGCATCGATCTTTCGTCAGTAGATAGTCGCATATTGTATTGTAAACTTATTAATTTAAAATGGCATTTAACAAATTAAATCGGATTTATAGGACACTAAAAATGTTTAAATGTCTTAACAGATTACTTTATATGAGACTTGCGTTTATAGGATAAAACACATGTATCTTTTATCTAAGAGTGTTGTACTAGATTTATATGACGTTTTTTGATTTATATGCGTTTATAGGATCAAACACATGTATCTTTTATAAGAAACTTTTTTGAAGTTACCTATGAACACATTTTTTCCAGGATACTTGCTTTATAATATACTTATTCAAATAGTATTATATAAGAGGGATAATATGACGCTTAATTTCAAAAGTATCTTAAAAAAGTTATTAAGATGTTCAAAAGTGTCTTATAAGTTTCTTACTGAACTTTTAGATGGGACTACATGCTTATATGGTGTTTGTTTAAAGTTCATTATGCTGTTTTATTTATGAATTTTGATTGTTCCAATATTTTTACCAAAATTCATAAGTAAACCAAAAAATGACACCCATGAAACAATGATATTTGTTCAAAGTTCGTAGTGTTGTTTCATCTATGAACTTTGGTTGTTCTCAAATTTTTACCCAGTTTCGTAAGTGAAACCAAAAAATAACAATATTAGGACATGTTTTGTATGTGAAATTTTAGTAATGTTTCGTATGTGAAATACATAAGAAATTAGAAAATGACAATATTTGGAGAGGTTTCATATTCGGAATTTTAGTAAATGTTTTGTATGTGAAACGAAGTAAGAAACCACAAAGTGACGATATCTAGGAATGTTTCATATGTGAAGTTTGAGTTTAGTTTGTATGCTAATCCGCCAATTAAGGTAATAATAATACTTGATCCGTTAAATTAGGAAGTACGCCAATCATAATCAGTTTTGAAATGGCAATTCGATGAGATAATTAAAAAATAAGATATCAATGAAAATACCTAAGTTTGCACAATCTGTAATAATTTGGTGGTTTCAAAACAAGCCACCTCCTCATGCTAAATCAGCATCTTCTTTGGAAGCTATGATAAAAGACTTGGTGGCTCGATCTCAAGCTCAACAACAATTGTTGAGCCAAAATCAATCTCGTTTTAATCAGCATAGTGTTGCGATCAGAAATATGGAAACTTAAGTCAGTCAACTTGCATTCAATTGGACGAATAAAACCCTTTCTTGCCAGTGATACAAAAGTACCTAGAGAATTAGGAAATGAACATGTGAAAGTAGTAACTTTTAGAAGCGAGGAGAAATTGACAAAGGCAGTGCAAAAAGATCATGAACCAATTTTATCAAAAAAATTGATGCTACAACATTCGTCTCTGCTATGGAAAAATCGGCCAAACCTTTAGAAAAACAAACATCTGAGACCACCACTTCTGTCCCTCCAAAATCGGACTACCCTTTACTGTTTCTTGAAGATGTTACTAGGAAAAAGTGAAGGGAGTGAGATTATAAAGACCTCTAAGACTGATGCTAAAATCCCAAATGTACCACAATAGTGTATAATAAAGACCCAAGGCATACAACATCCATCTTGCTCAACACATTCAAGAAAAACTATGATAAAACCAGTTCTTCCTTATGTACCTTACCCCCAAAGGTTAAAGAATCAGAATGAAGAGCTGCATTTTAAGAAATTCTAGATATGTTCAAAGAATTGCACATCAACATACCTTTTTGATGCAATTGAGCAAATGTCTAATTATGTTAAGCTCCTCAAATACATCCTAAGTAAGAAGAAGATTTTAACTGAATAAGAAACTGTAACTCTTACCGAAGGATGTAGTGCACTTTTGACCAATAGTATACCTCCTAAGCTTAAAGATCCAGGAAGTTTCACTATTCCTTATTCTATAGGTGGGAAGGAGATTAGGAAAGCTTTGTGTGACTTAGGTGCAAGTATCAGCCTTATGTTTTTATCTATTTTCAACAAGGCATAGGTTATGCTATACTTACCACTGTTACACTTCAATTGACCAACAAATTCATTGCGTACCCTAAAAGATTGAGGATGTTTTAGTGCAAGTGGGTAAGTTCATATTTCCAGCAGATTTTATCATTTTTAGACTTTGAGACTGATAAGAAGATTCCTATCATTTTAGAGAGACCATTTCTAGCCACCGGAAGAACTTTAATAGATGTCTAGAAAGAAAATCTGACTATGAGACTTCAGGACCAAAAAGTCACATTTAACGTTTCAATTCTTTGAAATACCTGACTCTTTGGAAGATTGTTCAATAATTTGTAAAATAAAATCAATGTGTCATGAGGAAGGAGTCCAGGAAGCCCGTAAGTTGAAAGAAAAGAATGATGAGGTAATAGAGGAAGAGACTGTTGAGGAATTAGTGGCAATAGGAAATGATGTTGTCCCACAGGATGCAGCAGCATTTGAGTTATTGGAAAATAGTAAGCAATACCCCATCCATAGTATAACCACCTGACCTGGAGTTGAAGCAACTCTCATCTCATTTGAAGTATGTTTTTTCTAGGAGAAGAAGGCAAATTGTTTGTCATCATATCATCTACCTCATATTTGTATCAAGAAAAGATGCATGATGTCCATTTAGGAGAATGTCATTTGGAATGTTCAATGCTCCAGCAACCTTTCAAAGATGCATGATGTCCATATTTTCTGACATGCTTGAAAAATCCATTGAAATCTTTATGAATGATTTTGTTGTTTATGGTTCATCTTTTGATAATTGCTTAGATAATTTAAAAATGAGTCTTGAAAGGTGTGAAGAAATTGGTTTAGTTCTCAACTGGGAAAAATGTTATTTCATGGTTAAAGAATGAATTGTTTTGGGCATCTGATTTCTAAAAAAAAGAGTTGAGGTAGACAAAGCTAAACTTGAAGTTATTGAAAAAGTATCCGAACCAACCACTATTAAAGGAATAAGAAGCTTTATTGGTCATGCTGGTTTTATAGAAGGTTTATCAAAGACTTTTCAAAAATCTCAAAACCATTATGTTTACTTTTGCAACATGACCAAAAATTTGATTTTACTGAAGAATGTAGAAATGCATTCAACACTTTGAAGAAAGCTTTGGTGGTTGCACCAATGGTTGTTGCTTCTTATTGGAACAAACATTTGAAATCGTGTGTGATGTCAGTGATTAGGTTGTAGGTGCTTTTAGGGTCGGAGAAAAGAAAAGGTGTTTCATTCAATTGATTATGCAAGCAAGACTTTGAATGAAGCACAAATCAACTACACAACAACTAAAAAGAAATTATTAGCTTAGATTAAGCTTTGTTCTTGATGACAAAGTAATATTGTTCAAAGTGTTCTCACTAAACAAAATATTAACCCCATATATATACTAGCAAAGGGGAATCAAAAAAGTACTAAAGGTTAATAACCATTGGTTAATAACCAATGGGTAATACAAAAGATGTCCTAATACAGAAGATGCTTAAGTACAAAAGGTTAAGATATCTTTTAGTGGCATCTTCTATCAAAATCGCCTGTTATCAGTATTAGAAGATGTTCTCCTCTAAAACCTGACTTTTCAAAATATTCAACAGGATTGAGCCAGTTGTGCCAATATTCAGTGTCCAGTGCTGCAGCAACGTACACACCTGCTATAGCAATGTTTATGTCAACATTTCATTCACCAAATATATAAAATAGTACCATTCATGCATCCTAGCTCCAATGAATTTGAAACCATAAAATAAGACTAAAAAAACTCAATATAGGATTGGGAAATGTGTAAAATGAAGTGAAATAAAGTTATAATTAGGTGTTAAAGTGTATGCTTTTGTACATTTATCAGAACTCAATAATTATCTTAATTATATTTTAAATATATTTAAAATGAGAATTTTATCATGTATTTGATTATATTTATCTACAGTTAGTTACACAAATTTAAATATGGAGCTTAATAAGTTGTACTTAGCTTAATTTACCTATAATCTTGAATTTTAAGTAATATGCATCAATAATAAAAGATGGTTTTTAAGATTTTTGTCAAATGTCTTATAATATAGTATAGACTAAGTAGTTACAGAATAGGCTTGTTGTAGTCTTGGTCCGAGAATTCCTGATTATCGTTGTTGGTTATTAGGCTTTTGCCATGGGGTTGTATGATATGGACATGGGGGATTGTTCATGGCATCCACGACCAACTGTTGTTGTTATTGCCTTGAGGCATTGGGGTGCGGGCTGCCTTAGCAACTATTGTGTGGTTGTTTCGGTTATTGCCCCTATTGCTGCCACCACCACAACCACCCCTGTGGGTCCTACTACCACTACGCGATTGGTATTTCTAATGTTAGATAAGTAATCAGAGAGCATATGAGGGTCTTCAACGTCTTTGGAAGGGATTGTGAGCATTGCAGAATTGGGTGTACTGTGCGAGGTTTTCTTGGCTAACCCCGCCTCTTCAAGCATGAGCATGGATCAGGCTTGGTAAAATGGAAATAGGTCACTTTGACGGATGAGACTACCAATGCCATTGTAGGCAATGCAACCATTTGTAGGACAAGTAGGTTATTTGTCACTAGTGCAACTGATGTTTTTCAGTTGATCCAAAAGGACCTTGAGCCTTTTACAATAGGCAAATGCATTTGAAAAATCCACCATGTGGTATTGGAGAACTCCTGCTCGAGTGTGGCAGTGCATGAATTATTGTTGTCTTGGAATATATCGCGCAGGCGATTCCAAGCTTCCATGGTGGTCGAGTCTGGGTTAATGATCATGTGTAGAAGATCATTAGAAATCTTGGCATAAATCCACTTAAGAACGGTAGCATCAAGAGTGGACCACAATTTCTTGTCTTCATCAGTAGCAGATGCCTTTTCTTTCCCACTAGCCGATAGAATGATATGATTGATAGCCTGATGAGATTTTGCATGGATCTTGAAGAGTTCCGCCTAAGTAGCATATTGAACCTTTCCCATCTCTAACATGATAGAGATGTGATTATGAATGTTCGAGGCGGCTAGGGTCGGATGGAAGAAGGATAAATTGGACGTTTGGGAGGAGATCTTCTTTTGCAGACACAGTGATGACCGAAGATTGAAAGAAGAAGAAGGGTAAGGGTCTTTGGTGGTGGTGATTAGGTCACGGCTGGGAAAGAACACACGAGGAAAGAAATAGGAGGCTTTAGTTAAGCTCTTATACAATGAAAGTTGGTAATTGTTGCTCATTCCATTCAATCAAAGCCAATATATAACATAATTATAGAGGACATCTAGACACAATACAAAAATATCACAAAGGGAAAAGTCTAAAAAAACCCAATGAACTTTAGTGTTTGGAATGATCAAGTTCTTAGACAATTTTTTGGAATAAATAAATCCTTGAACATTCCAAAACCTGTTAAATAACTCTTTGATTTTCTAAAACCTGTTATATACATTCTTATAACCTATACAACTGGTTAATATGATAAAATAATGGAAAAGTCTGGAAAAAAATCAATGAACTTTCATATTTTGAACGATTAAGTTTTTAAATATTTTTTGAATCAAAAAAATCTTTATATCTAGAAAATGAAACAAATATACCAAAAAAAATACTTACATTTATATAAGATTATTGATAAAATTTATTTTAATTAAAAATAAAATATATTTTATCACTGATTTTTCAAATTAAAGAGAATAAAAAAGGATTTAATAAGAAAATTATATATTTGGTTAAATTTTATCGTTAATCCGTCAGTAATTTAATCAAATTATTTTTTATTTTTTATTTGAAAAATCATCAATGGAATATATTTTATTTTTGATTAAAATAAATTTCATCGGGTAATCCATTTTAAATCTTTTTTTTATTTTTTTAATTTAAAAAATCACATATAAGATATATAATTTTTTAATTAAAATAAATTTAATTAATAATCTTTCTTAAATATTTTTTTTATTTGAAAAATCGGTGACATAATATATTTTATTTTTAATTAAAATAAATTTCTTCAGTAAATTTTTTTAGTGTAAGTATTTTTTGTAAATGTAAATATTTTTTGGTATATTTGTTTCATTTTGTAGATGTAGAGACTTTTTTTGTTCAAAAAACGTTTAGAGACTTAATCGTTCAAAATATGAAAGTTTATTAGCTTTTTCAGACTTTTTCCATTATTTTACCATATTAACCAGTTGTATAAATCATATGAATGTATATGATAGGTTTTAGAAAGTCCAAGAAGCAATGTAATAGATTTTGGAATATCCAAGAACTTATTTGTTTCAAAAAAATTGTTCAAAGACTTAATAATTAAACACTAAAGTCTATTGGGTTTTTTTAGAGTTTTCCCTAGTATAAAATTATCTTAATAGATATTCTTATATTCTATCAATATACATACATAAATATATAAGGAAGAGTTCAAACGAGAACCTCTGTGATTTGTGAAAACGCGAGAACAATCTATTAACCTCATATTGTGATAACAATAAAAATCAAAAGATTTTTTAAATTAAAACAATTCAAAAAAAATTGAGAGGCAAATGGGTAATATTATAATTTAAAGTAATAAATTTTTAAAAACACGATCACACTAAACCCAATAATCTGGATAACATAATGGGATATTATGGTTATCGTTTATTTCAACATAATTTGGTGTGATTTGAGTGTGATATGGATGTGATTATCACACAATTATCACAAGGATTCCGCTCGGTTACGGTTAACTTAGGAAATCAACTATCGATTTGGTGTGATATGGGTGTGATAATCATGTGATATCACTATCATAACAGTGCACTCGATTTAATCATGGTTTCGATCGGTTAGGATTAGACAATCACACATTTATCACAACGATTACTCATGGTTTCGATAGGTTAGGATTAGACAATCACACATTTATCACAACGATTACTCATGGTTTCGATAGGTTAGGATTAGACAATCACACATTTATCACAACAATTACGAGCGAAATCCACTAAACGATTTGGTGTGATATTAGTGTGATAATCATGTGATATCACTATTATAACATCACTTGCGCACTCAATTTGATCATGGTTTCGATCGGTTATATAGGGTTAGACAATCACACATTTATCACAACGATTACTCATGGTTCGATAGGTTATGGTTACACTCGATTGATCATGGTTTCGATAGGTTATGGTTACACAATCACACAATTATCACAAGGGAAGAGAAGAGAGTAGAAACGAACGTGATCAATCTAGGAAAAAAAGGATAATTATAATTAATTAAAATAAAATAAAAATTATAAAATTACTTAATTACATTACTACCCTTATTAATTTATTTATATTTAATATAAGTTAATTTATTAATTAAAAAAGTTTGAGGTTATTGGATTATTCTCGTGTTCTCGTAAATCACATGGGTTCTCGTTTAAATTTCCACCTATATTATATATATATATATATATATATATATATTTCATTCTAAAACCATTAATATTGACAATTGCAGTTACAATGCTAATACATGTATCTTAGGAAGATTTTGAAAAACAACAAAACAGAAATCAATCGATTAGAATATAAATCGACAATTTTGAAGAACCACAAAACAAAAATCAACTGATTACGATGCTATAGGTCAATCCATACAAGAGGATGTAGGTAGCGAGCAAGGGCAACGGATTTGAGCGACCGAGAAAAAAACCTAGGTCTCCGACTTTGTGTTCGTACAATTTTAATTAAGGGTAGTCGGTTGATTTCTAACTAATTAATGTTATATAATTTTGATTTATTTTATAAAAAATAAATCTTTTAGATATGTTTATGAAAGAGTAATTAAATATTTTTATCTGATTTTAGAAAATAAAAAGATAGTTGACTTGTAGATACGCTTATAAAAATGTTACTAAAACATTAATCACACTTAACAATTAATACTTTGTATGAGTTTTTATTCTTTTTGAATCTTAATAATACTTGAAATCAGTTATTATTTCTCTTAATATGATTATGTAAGAAATTAATAAAGGTATATTTTGTTGTAGAGCTCTCGTTACGAGATCAACCAAAAACCCTAAAAGATAGTCCCCCGTAAATGTGAAACTCGGCCGAAAACACGTTGGGTAAGACATAGTCTTACGTCTTACTCAAAAAGCCAAAGTCAATTATATTTATAAAAGTGTATTGGATCAAATCGACACAATTCGATTTTTCCCGGATCGAATCCTATTAACTTTTCTCATAGTAAAACCGCGACTTTATAGACTTTTAATCGATCTTAAAAGTGTACTCGCTCAGAAGAATTCTTAAATCCGCCACTAATAACGGTTGTTTCCAACAACATTAACCCATTGCGAAGGTAGCAACGGAATTAAACCTGTTGAGCAACATAATTTAAGTCGTTATTACTGTTTGAAATTTTCTTGTATCGTGTCAGTATTTTCAGCTTTCAGGTAAAATAATCATCGTATATATCAAAATGAATATAAAAACGACACTAAAATACACATCGGATGGTTATCGACTCGTTTAATTAGAGTTATAAAATTCAAAACATTTTGGGGATTAATTTTGATAAGAAATTAAAATATAAAAATCTACTAATTATTTCATTTATGCAAATGAAATAAACAATGAGTAAGAAACAAAAATCAACTACAATTATGAAACCCTAATTCCTAGATATCAAACCTACATCACAACCCCATATCAAATCTGGATATTCATGTAGTGTTTAATATCACCCACCTGAAGAAGATAGCGACCCAATGCAACCTTCCTGGCACCAAATTCATCAACAATACTCAAATGCTTGCAGGCATCCATGCTGAAGCTAACCACAGATCGCTGCCACGGCTCCAGCCACACCTTCTTGAAATCCACCAACTGCTTCTGAGGTGCATTAAAGATCGTCGGAGGAGAAGAGAATATCAACACCGAGTGGCTTCCGGCCATTTTCCCGATGTTTGTTACCATCAAATCAACATCAAATACCAAACCACTGCAAACCCTGTCGCCTGCATCGATGGAGTTGCAGGCGGTTGAACGACAAGGGTGACCTTCGTGTAATGGGATCGTCACGAATTTAGGTGCTTTGATGACTCGGTGAACATATGAAGAATAGCTTAAACCATACCCAAATTCATAAACGGTTTCCCCTCTATAGAACCTGTAGGTTTGGCCTAACTGGCCCGTGCTTGGGTCTGGTCTCATGTTGTTGTTGGTCATTGGCACCATGTCTACATACGATCGTGGATACCATGTCATGGGTAGTCTTCCACCTGCAATTACATACAAATTAAAACAGATAATTGATCAACATCGAAGTGGTTCAGCTTGATCTTTATACAGTTTTGAGATGAGTAATAAGCTTGAAGATACTTACTTGGATTGTGACGACCGAAAATGATATCAGCTAAAGCACCTCCACCCTCTTGGCCAGGAAGCCCAACCCATAAAATGCTGGTGACTTTTGGATCACACTTTGCAACTGTAACATCCATTCCACCTCCAGACATTATAACAAGAATCACCGGTCCTCTAGCTGCATAAGCGACCTCAGAAACCAGAAGGTTTTGTTGTCCAGGAAGGTCTATATCGGTTCTATCTAGAGCTTCAGCCTCTATCGTAAGATCTGTTCCCATGACTAGTACCACCGCGTCTGCTGAAGACGCCACATGTTTAGCGTTTTCAAATCGTTTGGTCGAGTTACACCTCACATCACAGCCTTCCTCGTACACAGTTTTAACAATCTCCGATAGGCCTTGTAGAGGAGTTGTGTATTTGCATGGAACCCCTGCGTAGTTGCCAATCATGGCTTTTGTGGCATTCGCATTAGGCCCGATTACTGCTAGAGATTTGATGGACGTTGGTAGGAGTGGCAACGATCCAAATCCGTTTTTAAGCAACACAATTCCTTGTCTTGCAGCTTCTCGGGCTAGCTCCTGGTTAGCCGGGGTGCAGACGTCTTTCTTTCCTAGTTTCCCGTAGAATTGCTTGCTTGGGTGACCATCAAAAAACCCGAGTCTCATAAGTGTCACATAGTTGTTCGTAACAGCCCGATCCACCACCGATTCTTTCACTAACCCACGTTTTACTGCATTCGCTGTGAAGTTCTTTAGTGAATCCCCACAGTTAAGATCCAACCCTACAAACATTTTCTAAACACGATTAGTAACAATCTTTACTGGCTAATACGAAAGCTGTTTGTTTCGATCAATCACCTGCATTTAATGCATCCGCGGTAACTTCCTCTGGGTATTCAGCCCAACGTTGGTCTTTGAACATTACATGTAATGAATCACAGTCGGAACTAATGTATCTGTAAAACGGAAAACGACATACTAAAACACGTATCACGTATACTAAAAGTACACCAATTGGATCAAAAATTCACCCGTTTAGTTTCCATTCGCCACGAACCATCCCTTCCAAAAGAGCCCTATCACCACAAGTTGGTACGCCATTAACTTGGTTGTAAGAACACATAACACTTGCAACATTTCCATCCAAAACACAGCTTTTGAATGGAGGGTTATATGTATCCTCCAAATCTTGCTTTGTTACCTTCCAAAAAAAGAAAAAAGATGTCACCTTTCAAATTTCTGATACATAAACATGTATACAGCAAGGTTATATTTCGATAAAAATAAACATACGATGGCGTTAAAATGGAATCGATCAACGCTGGTCCAATTATCGACATCATAGGCAGTGTAATGCTTGCAGCAAGCTCCGACCTTCAGTTTTTCTTTATCGCCATCCTCTCGTTCTTGTAAACCTCTAACAAAAGGCACCCCATATCTGCTAGCTAGTAATGGATCTTCTCCTGGGGTTTCTTGCCCTCTTCCCCATCTTGGATCCCGAAAGATGTTTACATTTGGCGACCAAAATGTTAGACCTGCTACACCAGTGTTGTACATTGCTCTAGCTTCAGTCGAAACCACCTGTGCTCGTACATTATAATCATACCCAGAAACGTATACAAACAATAAAACAATTTGCCTATATAGGATAGAGGGAAAACCCCTAAAAAATATGTTCATGTGCATATGCATACAATTAATTGAAGCTATTTTTTAGTTTTCATGCAAATGTACATACCGACAAATTACTTGTAATTGAAGCTATTTTTTTGCGATATATATGTATATATACCTTTCCGATTGTATAGAATAAAGATTCATTGAACGAGGCTGCAGTGAGGATGACTTGAGGGAAACTGGTGGCACCAGGAATTATAGTCTTATTGAACCAAGTTGCAGGTCCGGTATCGGAAACACCATGCAAAGCCTCCGACCACCATCCATAGGACGGTATTCCGAGGCGGGAAATGCTATCGGCCACGCTCACTAGACTCCCTGCCTTTTCTTGCAATGTCATCCTCTTCACCAGATCTTTCACCCTCGTTTGTATATCCAACGAAGTATCACAGAAAGCAAAATCCTTCAACTTTGGATATTTATCGAGATCGCAGGCATACGAAGGGGTATATTGGGCGAAAACAGTGATGGTAGATGACAAGTTACAAATTATCAAGAGAATGGGAATGGTAAGAAGAGGGGAGCACCTTGGCAGAGCCATGGCTACAGAAGTGATCAAAGATGATGAATTGTGAAGGTGGAAGATGGGTTTATATATATATACAGGCATATATACGTATAGGTAGCACAGAGTCAAAAAATAGTTGGAAATCTTGAACCATATTTTCGCATAACAGTTGTGTGAAGAAGATTGTTTGTGGTTGGGATTACAATCAGCGATTTGAATGCCAACTTTGTTCCTGTAAATGGGGGTCTTAAACTTAGGGTATGTGGAAAAGTATGTATAATTCTACCCTTCCTTGTCGTTAAAAAGTAGTTATACAAGTAATAAGCACTTTTGAATATTTTGATAAACAATTTATATCGGTGTCAAACCAGTAATAAATAGTTTTTGAAGAAGTTCAACCCTTATAATAAATTGATAAGTGTTTTTGTAAAAAGAATAAGTTGTTTCAAATAAGCAATCCCAGACACCCCCTTAATTAACAAACATATCAAATTTAAATTATTACATTTTAATCAAACCATAGTTTTACAATTAATATTATTTTATATTATGTCAATCATTTTGTATCCCCGCTTGAAAAACATTTTGGGTTCGTTTATGTCCGCCACTAACGAGCAATCGAGTAGGGTTCACAACTGAAACTTTTTTCTAACCTCTGTAAACGTAATCATTATCCATTACAGTACTCGAGCTCTCTCAAGTCCTCTACTCTTTTTCTCGTGCCCAAGTAACGTACGATCTGCCATTCTACTGTGTCGCATCCTCAGCATCGCCTCCAATAAAACTATTTTGACGCTTAAAATGGATGGCCAGAATTTTTACCTTTCATATTCCAGTGTGTTAATCGCTCATGGCAGGGTTTTCTTTCTTCTTGTTTCTTGTCTTGATTCTAGGATACCGAGAAAACATTATTGATTTAGAGTTCTCATCTTGCTCCTAATTATGGGTTTTGAGAGAACACTGTTGATTAATTTACGGATTTCCTTCTTTGTCTTCTTAATTATAGGATTCTAAGAAAGCATTACTAATTTAAGATAAAACAGTTTTTAGCTATGGTGTTGTGTTAGAAACTTCTACGATATTTATTACGGATGTTCTTCATCTTCATCATGGATATGCATATGGTTCTATTTGTGAATGTATGTTATGAATGTGCTTTTGCATCTATCTGAATCATTAAGCCGAATGTTCATATTATTCATTGTAGTCTCCTTTTTAAATGCAAATGCTAATAACAATAAGATTAAGACATGGATTTTTTTCAAGTTTTGAATGTCATTAATTTTGTTACAAAAAAGACCTCTTCAATCCCCCCACCCTTTTAGAAAGGTTGTGTTATCAAATGTCGTTTGATTATTATTATTGAACGTATTTCGTTATGATTTGTTCAATCTTTTTGCAATTTCCGTCACTATGCTTTCGATCAGTATCACGAGTCTACAAACCTTTCTCATTTTCGTGTTTGCCCTTTGAATGCTTACCGGGTAAGCACTTTCGTAAGAGTCAACACTCAACTTACTTTATCAAGTAAAATTGTCCATTAAAACGACATCATATGTAACAATTTACCCAGTAAGCACATACTAGGTAAGAGCCGTTGCTCTCACTTACCGAATAAGACCCTTTATTCTTATAATCGCTCTTACTGGATACAATTTCGGCTTTGCTATGTTACCGGATAATATAAAGAAGCATGTTTTTCAATTGGGAGGGTCAAAGTTAGAAAAAACTTGGCTTTTTTTACAAAATAAGCCATTATCCATGTCATTAAGCTACTACCAAACAGTCCGAATAAGCTGCTGACAAACATATCCTCATTCAAAATTGGCCGAATCTTGATACTTTTGAACGAATAAAAGAAAGATTGAATCATTGTTTTAAACAACACAAATAAACACTGAAGAACAAAACAAGTGCAATGAAATGAACACCCTTTTAGCTATCAGAAAAACACAACACTTGCTATAAAAGGAAAAAAACAAACAAAATTATAAATAAACAAGGCAATGAATGAATCATCAAGTAGAGATGGTTCTCAGAAAAGCAATAAAGAATATGATTTTACTGCAAGCTAAAGCCAACATTCACAATTCATGTGGAAATTGTTGGTGCAGCCATCAAGTCATACGATTAAACCCAACCGTGGGTGCAGGATGAACATATAACGTGCCACTTTGGCCGCAACAAAAGATCAAGAAACAGAAAATGCAGGCAGTCAACAAGTTGTGAGTATCATGCGTTGTTCGACTCAAAAAGGCAGCAGCATCCAACATGTAATTCAAGGACAGAGCAAGAGCTATGAGCCGGAAAAAGGGTACAAGAACCAGCACTTACCTACAGTAGTAGTATCCGCGAAAGCAAAACAACGATTATATCTTCCATGACATGACTCAAAAAAGCGCCACCATCCAAAATTTGTGATTTAAGGGAAGAACCGTCCTCAGGGAGAACAAGAACTATGAGCCGGGAAAAGGTACAAGAACCAGCAGTTACCTACAATAGTTGTATCTTGGGAAGGCAAAACAACCACTATATCTTCCACGACATGACTCAAAAAGGCGCCAGCATCCAAAATTTGTGATTCAAGGGCGGAGAACCATCCTTACACGCTGGAAAAAGGTTAAGAACCAGGCCCAGCAACACAAAACAAGGACATCACTAAGAACCATCTTCCCAAAACAACATGCCAGATGCCATCAACTACAAAAAAACTTCCATCATTGTGGCTTTTGGACATCATTTATTCACTTGCAGATAAGCTGCTTCAAGCTCAAAAACCTTTCCCAAATTTATCATGTTAAACACAACCCAACTAGTAGTAGTAGTAACAAAGATCATGTACCCACCCTTATAAATAGCCAAACAGCCTGCCAAAAGGGGGGTTAAAGACGTTAATTCAGAAACCAAGATTGGCATAAAAGAAGAGTAGATTTCATTTAATCAAGTTATAAAACGTTACCGCTTCATGCTTGGCTCCATTTGGACTCAAGAACATCCACCAAACTCAAGGACCCAAAAGTAATTTGTTTGACACGAAAACAGAAGTTTATCAGTTCTCACAGATGATCCTTCAATAACCATATAAACCTTTGGGATGTGCAAGTGAAACTCATCGTGCAAGAAAGTAGAGAGAGAGAACCAGCAGGCAGCATTAAGGACATTCATAAGTGAAAGACCAGCAAACAAGCACATTACTCCACCGAACCAATCCAACATAGTAAATGGTAGCAGGTGCCAAGTTGTGTAACTTTCACATGTTTCATTACTACATGAGCCAAATAAGCACGTACGAAGTAAAAGGACATCTTGCACAAAGAAAAACCACACCATTTTCATCTAGATCCAGCACCAGCAACTTCTAATCAACATCTGCAAATTCAGACAAAAACATATATAGACACTACTGCATGCTCTTAACATAATAGAATATTTGATATGTTAGGTCATACATACCGCATCACAACTTCAACTGGTAGTTGCATCAATCATCGATAACCGCCACCTGAACGGCGTTCATACGGTCCAGAACGATCACGACTATATCGGTCACCTCCACCTCCACCACCACCACCACCATCCCTACTGCGTCCATTACTACGATCTCCATTCCTATCAGGACCAAATCGGCCACCCCCGCCACCACGTCCCCTACCATAACGGTCATCCCTGCCACCATACTTACCCCCTCTATCCCCTTCACTTGGGCATTCCCTAGCAAAATGTCCAGGTTTACCACACTTGAAGCACTCACCACCGCCAGATCCACGACCACCTCCATAATCACGATCGCGACCACGATCCCTATCACGACCACGGTCACGACCACGATCACCATCATAATCCCTGCCTGAACCGCCTTGAGGCTGAGCCTTGTCTACTGTGATGTTTCTCCCATCCAAATCCATTCCATTCATTGCTTCAATAGCATCTTCCATTGCTTGCTTCTCGTCAAAAGTGACGAAACCAAATCCTCGTGAACGGCCAGAGACCTTGTCTAAAACCACCTAAATTATATGAAAAGCAAAATGCAATAAAAAGAGAGCTTTTAATATCAAAATTCTACTGCCTTCAATTTAAAACAAATAACCAAACTAGAATCTGAAAAGTAATATCATACAAGGTACGTTTGAAAGAGTGTGCATTATATGGTTTCTTTAAAACTTAAATCAAGTCAAACAATCAAAGCTAAACTTACGTACACATGCACAGAAAACTGTTTGTTTGCAATCTAAATCCACACTCTTACCTACCCGACAAAACAAAGACCGGTAAGGCATACAAACTAGTGCTTTTTTAGATACAGTATGCAATCAGATAAAACCCTTCTTTTCACAAAATCAGAAGATATGAAACAGCACATATAAATTTGAGGAAAAACTTGTGAACCATGTTACCTTTGCATCAAGAAGATGGCCAAACTTTGCAAAGGCATCCTTCAGAGCTCTATCAGATGTTGACCATGACAGGCCACCAATAAAACAGCGGTATTCCACATCATCTGACATGTTTAGAACTGCATTACCCAAAAAGAGAGAGCATTACAGCAAAAATAAAAACATGTTTCAAGCGTCAAATGTGTGCAACATTAGGGAGAACTCCTTTTCTTGCTCCGGGTTATGACAGACAACCAATCCAGAAGTCCGACATACCAAGGTAGTAATTGGAAATAGAATAGAAAACTATAAAAACAAGCAATCCCATTAAATAAATTAATATTCCCCTCAACACAAGGTAGTAATTGGAAATTACGTTACTTGAGTCCTCTATATAATTTGTTTCAATTGTGTCCTGCGGATAGAATGGGAAGGGAAGGGCCAGCATCAATAGACGATCAGAAACAACTTATGTTTCTTTTAAAAATATATATATCTTCCCAACCCAAAGAACAACTAAAGAAAAAAATCAACTAGCAATTTTAGGAGTGAATAAGATCTACAAGCATCATACTAGGATTGTATCGCTGTACAAATATTATATTTGTCAAAATGCAAAAAGAATGCCACAGTTAGTCAAATCTTGCAATTTTAGATAAATTTAACCTAAGTTGAAAGTTCTAATTCAACTTTCTAATGTGATATAAATGGAGTGATTGCATTTTCAATAAATGTATTTGGACTTCACATGTGACTTGTGGGCCTTTTCTTCGAAATCATGCGAGGCATAAAAACAACAAATAAAATAAACTACATTATTGAGTACATCAAAAGAGTTCATATAGAAAATCTTTGATACCCATTTTTTTCATTTTTCATACCCACATTGTGGAAGCAAAATATAGACTTCAGTATCAACAATGCTATTACTAGCGATCCACAGTTAGTATGTCATATGAACCAAATCAGATGATGGTATTAATATATCATTATGTCTCAGGTGATTGTTTAATTTGCTATTCTAACCTTGTGTCAGGACGTACGGGCCAAGGGCTTCCATTTATACCTGGTAAATTTTTTCTTTTGCCATTTGAAAATTATATCGCTTGTATTATAAATTACAATGAAAGTGCGGTATTGTGGCTACAAATCTAGTTCACTCATTGTAGAAGTTGCCCTGTCCACAATGATGCTCACATTGTAACCAATATAGCGCAACTGATCGATATCAATAAACATCGATAACTAATGATAAATATGTAATTCCTTTCGTTAGTGCATATGCTTTATATTATTAGGTTGTGTGTTTATTTGATTATTTCAATAAAAGAATAAACCCGCATATTGAAAGATATATATGGAGGACTTATGGACCTTCATCCTTTAGATCTTAGTTCTTAATTTACCTACGCCTTGTTTGATTGATTCAACTCCAGCATACATTTAACCTCCTTCCTTAGCATCCAACTTAACTACTTTTCTAGTATCATCAAGATAAACAATTCTTACAGGTAAATGAACATATAGAATCAGATCATAAAAATCAATAAGACGATACCCAGAATTAAACATAAATTAAGGACCAAGAAAGATCCCAGCAGACAACCTGATCTAATTAGCAACCAACCCAAAGGCAAAGAACGAGCTAGAAGATCATATGCTTGTGATCATTAAAATATTGCACCCATCAAGTAATAATATACCAAAAACACGTAACAAGATCATCAATTGTAGACTAAAAACATCGAGATCTACTGTAAGTCTATAACCAATCACATACATAACTCGCACATAATTAATAACCAATCGAAAAGTCAAAGAAAGAACTACAAACATCATGAATGTAATAAATAAATAAGATTGCAACCATCAATCAATGATTCACCAAAAACAGATTTACAGATCATCCGTCGTAGATTAAAAACACCAAGATCTACTGTATATGCGTTAAAGAATCGACATCAAACAATCGGAGATGGTAAAGAAATTAATATTAGTAAGGTGAGATTGATGCTTACAAGAAGAGGCGAATGTAAATCTCCGAAGCGTTTTGCGTTGAGCTCACGAAACGTCGTTTGCCCTATCTATCTATGTACGGAGTTTCAAATGGGTTAAACCCGAACCCTAGATTTATCCGAACTCCATCCTTGGAATTAGTGGGCCTAAATGGGCCTTTCTATGCATCCATGATCCATTTAACCTTAATAAAAAGGTTGTTTACTAGCAATTAGCGGTCATTAATGTTGTTTCTTTAAAGTATATCTATATCTATACTATATTACAAGGCATTTGCAAAAAATTTAAAAAATATTTTTTATGTATTGAGTATTGTTTATGTATGCATATTACTTAAAATTAAAGATCACAAGTAAATTGTTACATATGTACTACTTATTAAATCTTCATGTTTAAATTCGTGTAACTAACTGCATATATACATAATCAAATATTGTATAGATATCTCATTTTAAATATAAAAAATCTAAAATATATTTAGGATAATTATTGAGTTCTAACAAAATACTAATTATTATCTTTATAAAAATCTATACTATATTATAATGCATTTGGCAAAACTGTTAAAAACCATTTTTTATGCATTGAATACTGCTTGCGGATGCATATTACTTTAAAATTCAAGATCACAAGTAAATTTTGTGTATGTACAACTTATTAAAGCTTCATGTTTGAATTTGTGTAACTAACTGCAGATAAACATAATCAAATATTGGACAGATATTTCATTTTAAATATAAAAAATCTAAAATATATTTAGAATATCTAACAAAAAAACTAATTATTAACTTTATAAAAAAATTATATTATTAAACCAAAAAATAAATGACTTCATTGTTAAATCTAAATTAAATTATAATAAAATTTGAATTAAATAAATTACACAAAAAAAAAACTTTTAAATATTTAATTTGATACTAAAATCGATATTTATTTTTTTTCAGAAATTTATTATACCTTCAAATATATATTTTATTCAAAAAATAAAAACATTATCGTTTTTTCAGTATCACATAGAATAAGTTTGATTAATAGACCCAAAATAATTTGGATTGAATACATTAAATATAGATGGTTAAATAATTAATAGTGATATATATATTTCAGAGGGACAATTTTATAGTTTTTATGTGTTGTACTCCTCTTTGTGTGAACCCCACATTTAATATCTCGTGTTTTTTCTACTGACACTTAGGGGTCGTTTACTAAACACTTATTTGGTAAGTGTTTACCGGATAAATTCCCTCATCGGATGAACAAGAAAAAGGCCAAAAATCTTATTGGGTAAGAGCGATGAGAATGATGGAGAGTTATTAGGACTGAAAATCAGTATTAAATTGTATTCGTCTTGAAAGTTAAATATTGTCTATAGTTGTAAAAGTCATTGTGTTTGACTTTTCTTAGACAGGTTTGACTTTGACTATGTTTAGAAGTTTGGCCATATAAATAGGGTGATGTCTTTGTAATTTTGTAAGAGAGCTCATTTGTAAATCTGATACGTAATAGAGAGTTGACTAAGCTTTGAATGTTTGACTTTCTCTCTCAAAGTTCATCTTGTGTTCTTGAAGTTAAATATTAGATCTGCCATTGTTGAAGAGCATTCTTGAAGATTGATCATTAAAGTGCGACACACAATTGGTATCATTAAAGCAAAAGACTCAAAAGAAGTGCGACTGGAGATAATTACAGAAAAATTATTCATGTGCTACAACGACTGAGAGATGTTGAATGTGAAGATCATCTTTACAACAGTTTACTGAAGATTTGTTGTCTGAAGATTCTTTGAAGATCAAATATTGTACATTGTTTTTTGTTGATTACTGTTCTACATTGTCAAAAGAGAAGATCATCGCTGTTCTACATTCGACGGGGAGAATGTTAGAAGATCTATCTCAACAGTTGATTGTTTGAAGATTTCATGTTAAAAATTTCTTTTGAAAGAAGACATAATGTGCTTAAAGATTCAAAGTTCAACCAGGACTCAAAAAGCAGAATTTCTTTCAAGTCTGAATACAAAGGGAGAGAATGTTAGGACTGAAAATAAGTATTAAATTGTATTCATCTTGAAAGTTAAATATTGTCTATAATTGTAAAAGTCATCATGTTTGACTTTTCTTATACAGATTTGACTTTGACTATGTTTAGAAGTTTGACCCTATAAATAAGGTGATGTCTTTGTAATTTTGTAAGGAAGCTCATTTGTAAATCTGATACGTAATAAAGAGTTGACTAAGCTTTGAATGTTTGACTTTCTCTCTCAAAGTTCATCTTGTGTTCTTGAAGTTAAATCTTAGATCTGTCATTGTTGAAGAGCATATGTGAAGATTGATCATTAAAGTGGGACACACAATAGTCTTACCAGGTAAGTGAGGATGACGACTCTTACTCAGATAAGCGCTTACCCATTAAATTGTTGCATTTGATATGTTTTGATGTAATAAAATTTTACGCATCAAAATAAATCATAGTGTTGGTTCTTATCGGTAAGTGCTTACCGGGTAAGCAATTAAAGTTTGCTCGATGCATTGCTGTCAAAAATAAACAATTGGGCATTTGATCATTTATGCAAACCAATTTCGACTCAGTTAACATAGTAAGCATGTTAATTGGTCTAGAATATGTAATGTTTGATATGACACGTAATTTGATCAAATGTTTGTGTTTGATGTTTAAATTGATTTTTAACAAACACAAATAAAATAAACGTATGAACCAAAACTATATTATTAAATTAATGTAATGTTCACTGAAGTTTCTGTCACGCCCCATTTTTCTTAAGGTCGTGATAACATATCATGACTTTTTTTTTTGAAATATATAATATTTATATACGGCAAATGCAACAAATAAACTCACACACCCTCCTCACCTATGGTGAGGTTTGAACCCCTGACCTCCTAGAAGGCCAAGGGCTACGATACCGCTAGATCAAAGGCCGTTTGGTAACATATCATGACTTAATGTTGTATAACACAACATAAACCTCTCACGATATCACAGGGGAAAGAACTTAAACATATGAATCACAACTTGAAACAAATAACAACGTTCAAGGCAACAGTATATAGCTTAGAGCATGGAAAACCCTAATATAGGTCTTTGTTTCGTATTCTTAGCCTTTGTTGTATTCAGCCTTGTTTGCTCATGAGACAGACACTACTAGTCAGTTTAACGTTTTAGTGGGCCCATGATTTTAGGTAAGCGACGACAATTTGTCTCATAAATCAATGCGTTTGAAATGTTCTTCATAAACTCGTCAAACTTGTAAACCATACATAAGAACAAGTAGAATGCAAGACGTTGTTTCTCTCCATGAGTATATGTGTAGGGTGGTTAACGAGCTATTCGAGATTGAGCTTAATAATTATTGAGCTCAAGTCAGTCTCGAACACACACAAAAACTTGTTTAATTTAAATAGTTAAACTTCATAACACCAATGTTCGACTTGATTTGTTGGAAAGCCCGATCAAACTTACAAGTGACCGGTAAGAGTGATGAGAAGAATGGAGAGTCTTACCCGGTAAGTGAAGATTACGACTCTTGCCCAGGTAAGCGCTTACCTGGTAGATTGTTGCATTCAATACATTTTGATGTACTAAAATCTTACTCATCAAAATAAATTATAGTGTAGACTCCTATAGGTAAGCATTTACCGGGTAAGCATTTGGGTAAACAGCCTTTAAGTACATGTGTACATGAATATGTATGATCAAACATGGGTCTCACAAACTTGTGTGCGACCTCGAGCTCCATCACATATATGTGAGCTCAAGTTAGCTCACTTGAATCATCTAGCATTGGTTCGTCAATGCAACCTTTTGTGCTAGCTTGTGTTCATGTCACTTTAATTTGTGCTAGCTCACACATCACCTGTTGTTCATGTGTGTGACCTTTTGTTAGTTACCTCTGGGTTTACCTTTTGGGTTGTGTCGATCACATAGTGATATGTCGTCACAATATGTACACAACATACTTAGCCAATTTGATTAGAATTTTATTCGTTTTCCCTGTGTTGGATCACTACTAGCATATATATATAGGGGTTCATTCAAGGGAGAACTGATTAGTTTGTGGTAACTGTAAGATCCAATCTCAACCACAAATCAATGGATAAATTAGGAAATTAATAATTATGGTAGTTTGAGTTAAAATTATAATTATAAGACATTTTAGGTATTTTTTTAAAAACTTCTCTCTCTTCTCTCCTCTCTCCTCTCTCCTCTCTCATCTCTCCAACCTTCAATCTCCGGCCTCCGGTGAACATTAATCCGGCAGGTACCAAGTAATCACAAAGACTCATAATGTGATACTCATTGTGATATATTGTGATACCATTGTGATACCAACTATGATACCAACTAAAACCTTAAAAATAAAGATACACAATGTGAACCCATTGTGATATACTGTGATACCAATTTCATCGGAAGCCGGAGATTGGAGGTCGGAGAGATGAGAGAGGAGAGAGTAGTTTTTTAAAAATACCTAATATGCCCTCTAATTATAATTTTAACTCAAATTACCATAATTATTAATTTCCTAATTTATCTGTTAATTTGTGGTTGAGATTGAACCTCAGAGTTACCACAAACCAATCAGTTCTCATTTGATTAGGCCCATATATATATATATATCGCCTAGCATAACCAAATCATATACTCATACTTCTTTCCCAATCTTAACTCCTATTCACCACTCAGTTTAAGCTTAGGCTATAATAACAACCAAATTCTCTTAAACTACAACTCGGATACCAATTTGTAACACCCATATTTCTACCATAAGTAATGTCACATCATTCATCCCACATATTACCTTATGTCGTCGAACATAACGATAAGAGACAAACAAAATCTCCATCACAACGGAACTTTTAGTTTAAAGTAACTACAGATATCCAACATGTGCCCGTTCCATACCGGACTATATTACATAAAACCAAAATACATAAAGGTATTAAGTTTATCAACTAGCACAACATAGTAAAGAACATATCATAAAGGAACCGATCAATGCTTTGCCCTTCCCTTTGTCTATACCCGA